CTTGACAAGAATGAGCTCCACGACCTCGTACAGTGGTACTGAAACGAGAGATTATGTCTGAGAAAGGGTTATTGAGGTGTATTTTAATCGTCTTTTTGTGACTTCGAAATTTGTTTCGTTTTGGCTGAACTGTAGCTCGTCAGTGACCCGGATGAACTGTAGCATGTCGTGCAATGCTGCTCGTAATCGAGGCCGCGTGTCAACAACAAAGGCCATTGGAGTTGATGGTTGTATTGAATATGATGGTAGATTTCCAAGTGTACTGAGTTTTATGTGATTACTGGCGAGAAGGAAGCATCCTGCATGACTGGTACCTTCTTCAAAGACTGACTGGAGACGTTTAACTTTTCAGCCGATAAGTGGCATATGGATACGCGATATAATTTATAAGGATCGAAACCTTAGTGCCTCATATTGTGCTGTGGCACATATTTTGATTGCGCAAGTACCCTGATGTTCTTTTTGTGTTATATCCTTTCTAGCATCGGTAGTCTTATCTCTTTGTTGTTTGATATTCTTCTGGACCTATGGGCACGCTATAGGACAGCCCTTGAGGATCCATGGGTACCTTCATATAATAGCCCTTAAGAGCCTATGGGTGTCTGTGTAAGGTAGGACATCAGGACCTCTAGAAGGCTTCATATGATAGCCCTTATGCACTTATGGGTACCTCCATATAAGAGTCCTAGAAGACCTATGGATACCTCCATATAATAGCCCTTCAGGACCTATGGATGCTTCTATAGAACAGCCCTTGAGGGCCTATGGGTGCCTCCATATAATAGTCCTTGAGGACCTATGGATACCTCTATAGGATGGCCCTGGGGATCTATGGGTACCTCCATATAATAGTCTTTGAGGGCCTATGGGTACCTCTATAGAATAGCCCTTGAGGACCTATGGGTACTTCTATAGAATAGCCCTTGTGGACTTATGGGTACCTCCATAGGATAGCCCATGAGAACTTATGGGTACGTCCATAGGATAACCCATGAGTAGGATGTGGGGTGGGTGTGGGTGTTACTGAAAAGTTGAATCCATTCAATTGGAACTAGCGGAATCCGAGTCCTATCTTGTCGTATCCTGTGATCGGATCCGAACTCCATAGCCGAAATGCAGACGGCGGGATCTGGGCTTCGTAACCATACCGGAAACGACAGTTTATGGCTCGTATCCTGTCGCCGTCATAAGTCGCTGGAACCAGGCGCGGGAATCATACCGGAAACAGGGATCCGTATCCGGCCATCACTTTCGGACTCCGGAACTGACGGGAATTAAGTAGGAAACGAAAGCCGGAACCGATTTGGGAATACTGCCACCCTGAAATAGCCGGAAATTCACCGGATCAGGCGGTTTCCCGCCGTACATCTTGGACCTGGGTATCATGTTTAGACCCACTACTGAATACTTAAATATTTGAACTTGAAATATTCAATAACTGAATAGTTGCAACCACTATTCAATAATTGAATCCAAGTTTCAAGTTTTACATATTTATGCCCGAGAAAGAAGTGGTCACAATACGACACACATCACATCACACATGATGTGGGTGCCGCGAAAGGAGTGGCCACAATACGACACACATCACATCGCACCTATTGTGGGTGCCGCGAATGGAATGGCCACAATACGACACACATCACATCGCACCTGCTGTGGGTGCCGCAAAAGGAGTGGCCACAATATGACATATCACATCGCGCCTAGTATGGGTACTGCGAAAGGAGTGTCCACAATATGACACATATCACATCGCACCTATTGTAGGTACCGCGAATGGAATGGCCAGAATACAACACACATCACATCGCACCTGGTGTGGGTGCCGCGAAAGGAGTGGCACCAGTACGACACACATCACATCGCACCTCGTGTGGGTGCTGCGAAAGGAGTGTCCACAATACGACACACATCACATCGCACCTGGTGTGGGTGCCGCGAAAGGAGTGGCACCAGTACGACACACATCACATCGCACCTCGTGTGGGTGCTACGAAAGCAGTGGTCGCTTTTTTCGTGGCCACAATACGACACACGTCACATCGCACCTGGTGTGGGTGCCGCGAAAGAACACGTCCGGAAAGGATTGAAACTTGAAGCTTGAAAACTCAATTCAATTCAAGTTTCAAGCTTGACATACAGGAATGCTCGTCTACAAACTCGCTCAGCTCTTTCTCGTAGAAGGACTGCTTTCAGATATCAGATTTTTAATTTTTTATTGTGTATACAAGTTTATTTCTAACCTAAATTAGATACTCTCACATAAAAACAGCAAATATTTATACCAAATGTTAGATAGTGGATTGGATATTCCAAGTAAGTAACAATACAATTGGGAAAGTACATGGGTAATTACATGAAAAAAAAAACAATAAGAAAAGAAATCAAGAAAATACACAATAGGAAATAGTTAATAACTACTGCCGGTTTCAAAATAATAGGCGGGTGGGTATTTTCTGAATAATTTTTCATAAGAACAAGATAGAGAGCTGCGATTTTCACCGCTGAAAAGAGCAGATAAAAGCGCATCGAACCATATAAGGCAATGACTTTTAACTTGGACTTTTGAAACGTTTTGCAATAATTGCACAAAGAAATGCCTTAAAAAACAGGCCTGATTTTTTTAGGGAAGACGAAAAACGTGAAAAAATGAGTTTTTTTTGCACAAATTCGTGGCAAAGTGGACTAGAATTGTCGAGTATAATACCTACAACTCCAAAAGCAGTAAAGCTTTGAATTAAGTCTTATATAATTTTGTGGCTCATCAGCTACCGATTTTAATCCACTCCTGAAAGTTTAAAATTTGTTCTATCTTCATAGAGCACTAGGCTAGTCTTTCGAGATAACCATAGATTGCTATTTATTTATAAAATAAATTGCAACAATTTTATATGAATCGATGCGCTGGATAGGTCTCTTTCCAACGGTGAAAATCGCAGGTCTCTATTTTCTTCCTGTTCAAAGTAATTCAAAAAATACCCACCGCCTTCTATTTTGAGGTGAGCGGTAATTATAAATTAATTAATTAAAACTGATCTCAGATTTGGACTCCTCACCTTCGATTACCTTTAGTGAAGTTTTAAGAGAAATAATAACAACTGATAATTAATTAATAATTAGCTAATAATTAATTAGCAATTAATTAGCTGAAACTGACGTCAGATTTGGATTCCTCACTCCCAATTACCCTATGGTGAAGTTTTATGGAAAACATTAATAATTAACGATTCGTTAATAATTAATTAATAATTGGTTAATAATTAATTGAAAGTAATATCAGATTCGAATTCCCCATCCCCGATTACCCTTTGGTGAAGTTTTATAGAAAGATTAATAATTAACGATTCGTTAATAATTAATTAATAATTGGTTAATAATTAATTAAAAGTAATATCAGATTCAAGTTCTCCACCCTCGATTACCTTTGGACTTGAAACTTCAAAACTCAATTGAATTCAAGTTTAAAGTTTTATGTATAAGACTTCTATAAGTGTCTCAGTTCGAATTATAAATTTATAATTAGGATAAATTTTATCTTTTGCTTTTTTGCCAGACTTATATAAGTGTCTCAATTCGAATTATAAATTTATAATTAGGATAAATTTTTTCTTTTGCTTTTTTGCCAGACTTATATAAGTGCCTCAATTCGAATTATAAATTTATAATTAGGATAAAATTTATCTTTTGCTTTTTTGCCAGACTTACATAAGTGTCTCAATTCGAATTATAAATTTATAATTAGGATACAATTTATCTTTTGCTTTTTTTCCAGGCTTATATAAGTGTCTCAATTCGAATTATAAATTTATAATTAGGATAAAATTTATCTTTTGCTTTTTTGCCAAAATAACATGAGTGCCTTTTTTTCGTTTATTTTCGAAGTGATATTACGCAGTTGAAGTTTCATTTATATTCGAACTCGAATCAGGCATCTCATGACACACCCACACCCGACACCCATACCCACACCCTTGTCTAAGTAAAGTAATGTTCTTTTGTATTTGTATTTGAGAATAGCAATAAATCTCTAAATATGCTCTTAAAAACTCTTATTTTTCAGTTACGGACTCAGCGGAATTTTGAGTTATTGAGGAAATTATCCTTGATAAGATTAATCATTTTTTGAAAAACTTTGATCTTGTTGGTATATTTTATCATATCTAAAACGATGAGGCTGATTATTGCACAATCTTTTGACATTATACTTTCTGCTTTGTCATGCTAGTATTTTTATCGTTGGTACTTTTTCAAGGGAATGAAGAGCAAAATGATGTTTTTTGTCGTTCTTATTTTCTTTTCATCATCGTTGGTCTTATTAAAGCTTGCAACATATATAATCTTTTAAAGCAACATTCGGAAGCATACATTTATTGATAACTACTAAACTGGGAGGTAATATAGTTTTTACTTTTACATAGTTATTCTTGCAACGTCACAAGCAACTATAACTCTAAGTGACAATAGAACTATTTTTGGTTTTTCCTTTGTTGAAACTCCAAAAACAAATAATTTTTTGCTACTAAAAAGACTGTGTAATATTTGTTTGTCTATTTCGTTCCAGATCTCAGTCGATAGTGATCTCAACACAGCTCCACTTAATGACTTCAATAGGTGATATTCGTGATCGATTAACAGACGTACACTTGGAAACAATTCCAAATGATCTTTTATTCGTGTGGTTCGATACATCGATGCGAGATTACTCAACTTTTAAAAATAGCTTCTGTCACGATACCAATTGTGATCAACGGCTATGGCAGATGTTTAAAAACAATGACGAATTAGATGCATTTATTCGAACAATTGTAGCGCCAATAAAATTCGTTCTTGTCGCATCAGGTCGTCTCGCTCAGAGTGTGATGCCCAACATTCATAATCTTGAACAACTACATTCGGTTTACATTTTTTGTCAAAATATAAATGCACACAAACAATGGTCTGAACCCTACAACAAAGTGCTCGGTGTCTTCAATGATCGTAAACTGTTGCATGCAAATATGCGAACTCATCTTGCTGAAGAAGTACAAGGTGACAATATATCTGTTCGAGGATCATCAACAGAACCGGTATTGACTCCGGCTGAAGCAGGTAACCTCTTCTATTTTCATATTAGTTCGTATGAAAAATAAGATACTCTTTCTATCGATTCCTACTAAATGTCATTATATAGGGCTCTGACAATAGTTCATATTCATACTTTATAAGGAACTATTGATGAAAATATTGCAGACGAATAAGATAAAAATACAAAAAATATTTTCATAGATTTTCATCAATAATTATATAAAGATATTTTTCATTCCTGTTTTCTTTTTAAGCTTGTCATTATTGTTAACAAAAAAAAATCAAATAAGTTTTCGTTCAAGTCATACTTGTTCATAGCCAATCGAGTTTGAACTTTTTTTTGCACACGCTTCGATAGCTCATGATTATATAACTCCTTTTTTTTTACCAATGAAATATTTTCGAGATATTGTTTTCTCGGAATTGATTCAGATCTCCAGATTGAGATACCATTTAGAAATATTTTTCAAACTATTTACTCAACTTTTTATGACAAAATAAAATTTGATCAATAGTGTTTTTTTTTATAATTCAAATTTTCCAAAGATTTTATCGATTTGCGTTCATCGTAGTTCTAGATAAACAAGTGAAAGTTTGTAAATTGAAATCATTTTTATTTCATATGATCTTATGGCGAACTATTAAACAAAACAATGATATAATAAATATTATAACTTTTTAATAAAGTGATCTTTGTTGTCTTTCAGCCGCAGTCGCAGCTACACCACCACTTCAATCTCGTCGAGAACCGAGATCCGATGAGGCCGACGTTGACTGGTTTGCACAGCCAGGCACACATTGGTGTCCTTGGAATTCTAACAACTGTTCGAATACACTCTCCATTCGTGGTCAAGGTACTATTGAAATCATAGAATTAGAACCAACGCCATTTGAGATAAAACTATCAAATAGGTCAGACCCTTATGATCGATCTGCTTATAAAATTGTTCTTACAGTTGATAAACATGAAGCGAAATTGAGCGCAAACAATGTCGTACTTGATGTGTCCACTGATCCACATCATATACTCCAACCAAGCGATGAAAAATGGCATACGTACTGGTTGAGTATATTTAAAGATACTCGACAAGTTAGATATGGAATTGGAGAAACCCGTTTAAATTTTACTATCTACGATAATTGTCTTCCAGAAAATGACTTACCTTCTATTCGTGAACTCTATTATTTGCATATTAAGTTAAATAATAATGATCGAATGCTCACCGAATTGGGAAATTCTCGTAAAAATTTTCGCTTTTTCATTGGCAAAGAGCCGATCGTGTACGATCCACCATTAATCGTCGTACCCCAATCGAGCTATACGCTCGAACATGCCGCGATGCATACAGCTATTGCACCATCGAAACTGGAAAAACCATGCCGTGATTTATATGATAGTATTATCAATTTTACATTGAATGATGATCAATTTCCTGATTTTGTTCGTGCTATTGAACGTAGTCTCAAGAATCCCAACGGATGGTGTCATCGTAAATTGATCGAAAAAGCAAATCGATTTGGTCGACCGAATCCAAAAGCTACTTATTTACGTATTACAATAGGTGAACGAGAAGGACAGTCACCCGGTCATGCATATGTTATTGAAATTTGGCCACCGGGACATTACAGTCCTGTACATAATCATAGTAATGCTTATGGTATTATTCGAGTACTTTATGGTCGTATTTTAGTCAAGCTTTATCCGGATCTAACACTAAATGTTCGTGAAGTTGCACCAATTGAACAAATCCTTGAAGAAGGTCAAGTAACATGGATGTTACCCAGACTTAATCAAACACATCAAGTTAAAAATCCAGATTTGTATGGTACATGTTGTATTACACTTCAATGCTATCAATATGGGCCAGAGGATCGACAACATTATGAATATTTCGATTATCTTGCTAATGATGGGTGCAGTATTGGTCATTTCGATCCTAAATCAGACATGGATTATGCTGAATTCAAGCAGAGAATGCGACAAGAATGGCAATCATCATAACAATAGCTTTTTATCAAATTAAACAAACTTTTTCCTTTTTCTATTATTTTTCTTCTTTTTTATATTCCAAAAAGATGCATTTCATTCGTAAAAATTTTGACTATACAACAAAACAGAATGTATCTATAAGATAAACTAATTCTTCAATCATTGTTTATTTAACAAAATAATAATGCAGGGTGGGTGTGAGTGTGGGTGTAGGTGTGAGTGCTGGTCAGAATAACACCCACACCCTTATAGATGAATTTGTGGCGCTAGATGTACTAGCATCTGTTAAACATTGGTTGGATGGAAATGAAGGAACCGACATATTCATTGTAGTTGAAGAAGAAGATGGCGAAGAGGTTGATAAACATAGAGAAGTTGAAGTGCAGGTAAGACTATTATTTTCATCTCGAGGTTTTTTACTAGACATAATGAAATTGTCAAGAGTAACATTACGTTTATTAGAATTTCTATTATCCATAATAAGTTGTATGATTGACAAAAGGACGTGGGTGTGTGGGTGTCGGATGTGGGGTTGAAAGTGTGGGTGTAGGCCTTGCTCTTTTATCCATCCATACCCACACCCACACCCACACACCCACACACCCACACCCACACCCACACC